GGCTTTGTCAAATATACATGAAGTAATGTATGGATTCTAGCCCATCCACTACGTTTTATGAAGCGTAATAAACATTCGATCCTTGTCTTGTCTCTTAATTACCTTTAACGCTTTTGAACGTGGTAATCATGCCAACAATATATTGTCTTCCGGTTATGTGAGATTCAATTTCGTCAGTCATTCCTCAAAACTCATACCTCTCGGCTCTGGGACTGGCCCAGTGGCAAACATTGGTTCTTGTCACTGTTTGCTGATGCAAAAATTACACATACTGTAGAAGACTGCAAAAAGCTTCAGGGTGATATGGACAAACTTAAATAATATTACATAAAAAGCCCTCCTGGAATTACACAGGAAAAGACCTGAGGGTTGATATCACACCGAGCCTGTCTCCCGAGGTCAACTTCGAACATCAGAACTAAATGAACAAATTCACATGGTCCGTGACGAGGATTCGAACCTGCATCCGAGAGTATCCCAGACGCTGCCTTAATCGACTGAGCTACGACATGGTCAAAAAGAGTTGAAACCGAAGTTCTACTGAATCCGGGATGCTCTCGGATGCAGGTTCGAATCCTCGTCACGACCCTTGTGGATTTGTTCATATGATGCATCACGGTATTCTGATTTCTGTGTGTAAATCAGAACTAACTTCTTGAATACGGAGAGTACACGACTCCTGAATATGGAGTGGTTTATAATTCCAATACCAAGTTCGTCAGACCAATGCCGGGATATGCGGCACCAGCAAGGAATCTTTATCTCGTTAACTATAAAACGAAGTTAAAAAAAAATCCATAGGTATGCCAATTGACCAGTCCCAGAACCGAGTCTTGGCCAGGGAGGATTGACCGGGCACCAATCCTTAACTGTCCACCCTTGTTCACACAGGAGTAATTGGGTATCTGGATGTTAGCCAACAGGAGGATCGTGTTCCAGGGACAACTAGATAAGTCTTATCATGAGTTATGAGACGGAAAAGCTCGCAACTTGCTAACAATAGAATCCCTGAGGAATGCTACTGGTAACATCTCGCCACGGATGTATCTCCTATCACTGTGACTCGCTGTGTTCTGTCACTTAGGTACTCTCTTATCCACTGGGATTCGTGAACCTCATTTGTCACTCATGTCAGTTTGTCCATTATGGTACTAGTCCTGCGTGGGATGCCGTGCTGAGGGGTTTCCGAAGTCTGACTTCTTTCGCCGATGGAGGTGTAATGGTGGTTGTGGTGGTTGTGGTGGTTGTGGTGGTGGTGGTGGTGTGCGACACCGTCCGCCATCTGCGCCACCGCCGCCCTCCGAGTTAAGACAACAATCCGAGCTACTGCTGGCGGCAATTATAAAGTCGTTAGCTCAATTAATGACGGATTAATGTGTTTCTACAAGTTGTTCTCATCTCTGTTGTGACGTCAGAAGACTGAGGGGTGAGAGGGGGAGGTGCGCTAGACAGCGTGGAGAAGCTTCAGACGGAAGAACAGGTCTAGTTTCCGTCCCCCTGTCAGTCCCGTGGGTCCCGTCTTTGTCACTAATTTGGCGCGAGACGGCTTGGTTTACGCTCCATGTTTGTTTACACACGGTCTCCTGCCTTGACTTTGGTTACATTGTGTGTCTCTGTGATGCCATCTAGTGCTGCTTCGACTCTGGTGCCTTGTAGGGCTACATGGTGCCTCTCTGGTGCCTTGTAGCGCTGTATGGTGCCTCTCTGGTGCCTTGTAGCGCTGTATGGTGCCTCTCTGGTGCCTTGTAGGGCTGTATGGTGCCTCTCTGGTGCCTTGTAGGGCTGTATGGTGCCTCTCTGGTGCCTTGTAGGGCTGTATGGGCGCCTGGCCTCTATGGTGGCCTTGTGCTTGTAGGGCTGTATGGTGCCTCTGGTGGTGCCTTGTAGGGCTGTATGGTGCCTCTCTGGTGCCTTGTAGGGCTGTATGGTGCCTCTCTGGTGCCTTGTAGGGCTGTATGGTGCTCTCTATGTGCCTTGTAGGGCTGTATGGTGCCTCTCTGGTGTGTAGGCTGTGTATGTGCCTCTCTTGTGCCTTGTAGGGCTTTATGGTGCCTCTCTAGTGCCTTGTAGGGCTACATGGTGCCTCTCTGGTGCCTTGTAGGGCTGTATGGTGCCTCTCTGGTGCCTTGTAGGGCTTTATGGTGCCTCTCTGGTGCCTTGTAGGGCTGTATGGTGCCTCTCTGGTGCCTTGTAGGGCTGTATGGTGCCTCTCTGGTGCCTTGTAGGGCTGTATGGTGCCTCTCTTGTGCCTTGTAGGGCTACATGGTGCCTCTCTGGTGCCTTGTAGGGCTGTATGGTGCCTCTCTTGTGCCTTGTAGGGCTACATGGTGCCTCTCTGGTGCCTTGTAGGGCTACATGGTGCCTCTCTGGTGCCTTGTAGGGCTGTATGGTGCCTCTCTGGTGCCTTGTAGTGCTACATGGTGCCTCTCTGGTGCCTTATAGTGCTACATGGTGCCTCTCTGGTGCCTTGTAGGGCTGTATGGTGCCTCTCTGGTGCCTTGTAGGGCTGCATGGTGCCTCTCTGGTGCCTTGTAGGGCTACATGGTGCCTCTCTGGTGCCTTGTATGGCTGTATGGTGCCTCTCTGGTGCCTTATAGTGCTACATGGTGCCTCTCTGGTACCTTGTAGTGCTACATAATGCCTCTCTGGTACCTTGTAGTGCTACATACTTCCTGAGTGCTTTGGGACTTTAATCTTTGAAAACTTACTGGGTGAATGAAGTTCCTTTACATTACTTTATTAATTGCATGGGTGATATGTTTACTCATAAAAATACTCATAAGATCACAGGTGATGTCCATAGCAATTCAAGATCTAAGTTAATTAAGGGAAAAATATATAAAATACACATGAGAATAATTAACCGTAACTTTATTTAATAATGCAAATTAATTAATCAATAAGCTAGTGACATCCTAGTTCTTAGAGGCATGGTAATGGATTAGAAATTGTTCAGGACCCTTAAACAGACAGTTACCGTTTCAATCACTGCTTCTTAGTTAGTGTTGTGGCCTCCTGGTGGCCGATACCCAAATTACTCCCCCCGTCACCATTTCCAGCATTCCAGTTTATACTGAAAAATCTTTTTTCTCGTATGCTTCAATGAAGCTAAGACTCCACCCACTAAGGCTCATCTTTCCCTAGACATTCCGCCCCTCCTAAGCTTACACACAACTGAAACCAGGCCAGGCTAGTGAGAACTAGGCCCTCGCCCCTTGTCCAATGACTAACTTAAAACTCCAAAAAGGCGAGAGTTTCTCACAAACTGGAACTACTGATCTATATGCCCGAGCCCAGACTGCCAGGGGAACATGTGTCCGGATCCTATAATTCGAAGCAGCAGTAAAACCTACACTCTCGATCGTCCAGATGATGGCCAAAGCGAGGAAGGAAGAGCGGAAGAAGAGATAGGAAAGGGGCATGGGATGAGAGAGGAGGAAAATAAAGAAAAAGGGGGAGAAGGAAAAGAAGGAAAGGAGGGAAAGAAGGAAGGGAAAGGGGAGATGTGACACTGCAGATATTCACTGACGTTACAGAAGTCTGGAGAAACGAATACTCAAAAAAATTATAAACTGAAAAAGTAAAGACATGTCGACTATGTGGGTATAGCGTTTGTCGGGTCTTGTCCCATATCTGCGACAGCTACTGTAAGGCAGACTTTCCCGGAACCGTCAGAGCGCTAACAGCTGTCCCACTTAGACAGTATACACTAAACGCCGTCCATGTAAGGAAGACCATCATACAGGCGACCAGGAGCTAGGAACGAGGTCATTGAACCGTGAAGAAAGGCTGTTAAGGGGGAGGATTGAGCAGCGGTAATGACGAGTTTACGAAAAGTGGCCTATTGGGGAGGGTTGTTAAGGCCTATCAGCCTTTGGCGGGTTGTTAAGGCCTACCAACCTCGGGAGGGTTGTTAAGGTCTATCAACCTAGAGAGGGTTGTTAAGGCTTATCAACCTCAGGATGATTATTACAGCCTATCAACCTCTGGAGGTTATTAAGGTCTATCAACCTCTGGAAGGTTATTAAAGGTCTATTAACCTCTGGAAGGTACTAAGGCCTCGACAATAACTTACTGACCATCCTGAAAATATATTTTAGCCATAGAGTCTAGAAGTATAGTACAACTCAATATATACTATATAAGTAGAGTGTATATAAATATTTTGATATATATTTATACTGTTTTAATATATACCAGTATATTTATATACTCTGTTATAATATATACCAGCATATTTTATATATTTTCTGTGTATATATTACTTCTATCTCCTCCACAGTAGATATTTAATACCTACCGTCTTACATTCGTAATTTACAATCAAATGGAATATTAAAATAAATTTGTTTATTTATTTGCTGAAGACATCCATTTGTACTGGTCGGTAGAGCGACGGCGTCGCTTCTTGCAGGTCGGAGTTCGATATCCTATGTCCCAAGTGGTTGTGGGCACCGTTCCTTCCCTCTGGCCTATCCCAGATCCTTTTCCTCATATCCCTACGTAGTGTTATATAGGTGTTATATAGGAGTTCGATATCCTATGGCCCAAGTGGTAGTTCGGCCTATCCCAGATCCTTTTCTCATATCCCTACGTAGTGTTATATAGGTGTACTGGCTTAGCGCTTTTCTCCTCGTAATTACCTCACATTCTTTGTGTGAAGGGCGTCTGAAGGGAAATTATTTCTCGTTGGCTCAGTGCTTCTCTCGCTTCATGTTCGTTATAACTTAGGTGTTTGAACTTAGGTTTATATAATTGATGCCATAGTGTGTACTGACTCAGGGTTAATATGTAATATTAAATAAATTTATGAAAAATATTAATATATTTGACCTCGTCCAGAAATATTAATTCCATTCCTTGGCCTACATAGATCGCCCTTACCCTAACATATTATCCCCCCTGACCATCCCCTTAGACTTCCCCCCCTCACCCCATTAGCCCTTCACTACCCCTACTGTGTGGAGCAGGATAATGAAGCAGTGTTGTTGCCTCCTCAGGTGTGGTTCCAGAACCGGCGAGCCAAGTGGAGGAAGAGAGAGAAGGCTTTGGGGCGTGAGAGCCCCTCCTTCATGGGCGTCGACCATCCCCTGGGCGGCATGCCCGACCTGCCCCTGCCCCTGGGGCCGCCCCCGCACTCCGTCGCCGCCGCCGCCTCCGCCGCCGACCTCCTCCATCTCCACGCCCTCCACGCCCTCCATCTCCACCCATTCCTCCACCCGTCCCACGCCCCGGGGCTCCACCACAAGGCGGCGGGGCACCCACCACCGCCGCTACACGCCCTTCTCCACCACTATATGCTGCCGCCGGGGCTGCCGCTGCTCCATCCTGCCGCAGGCGTCGCCCAGGGCCTCCACCTCCCTATGATGACCTCCTCCAACAGCCCCGACGCCTCCCCCACCCACTCCCCGCCCATTACCACCATCGCAACCACCGCCACGCCCACTACCACGCCCTCTGGAGCCCCAGGTTCACCTGGCCTGCCGCTGGACTGCCGCGGCGCCTCCGTCGACCTCCTGCGGCTGAAGGCGCGCCAACATCAGGCTCTATTAGAGCGCTTGTCACCCCCTACATCCGGAGTACACGCCTCCTCCTGAACACCCACGCCACGCTGCACGCCGTCGTGGGCGCGCCCCTGCAGTATTTACTTCTGGAGGAGTTCATAGGTCGTCTCTGACGTTAGCTTCGGCCCTGAAGATGTGCGCGCGCAACCTGTCGCAGGTTGTGTAGCGTTGATCATGTCACCGGTGATGCTCCCAGCAGCAGGAAGAGCTGTAGCACCGCCTCCACCCTGGCAGGAGACGCGCCAACCGCAGGGGTCACTGCTGTAGATGAATATAGTTGGGTCTCCATCCTCAGTGGCGGCGCCAGCGAGGCGAGGGCCAGGGGCCATAGTGCCAAGGAGGGCCATGACGGCCTCTGTGTCATCGCGGTGATTGGACCCTAATTAATAGCAGGACCCCGAACCATAGTTACACTGGTTAAACAAGCAGCATGTCGTTGTAAACGACTGGAGTGTGAGGGAGGGGTTCAGGCGGACGACAGCCCAACCTCTATCTGATGGGTCAAATCACCTTCTGATGTACACTAGAAGCAACCTTTCCCCCCTGCTCTAATCAGTGTAACGCAGACGTGGCAGAGTTTCCCTCCTGACGCAGACGTCCTTCGTTCCCTGGTGACGTAGACGACACTCTCTCCTGACGCAGATGTCCTCACACTGACGCACTCGTCCCCCCTAAAGTGGCTCTCTCTCACGCCAGTTCAAGTGTCTCTTCCGGGCCTTTGGGAGAGGACGGCGGCAAGCTCTTTAATTACCTCTTTATCAACCTATCATTTTGTCAGATCAGTTGGCAGCCTGCATTCGCCTGACGATCCTCCACTGTCCGTCCTCGCCAGCGGCAGTTTGGGGCTCTTGCCCTTCCTGAATAAGAGTCATTCGCTTCTCTTCTATTCAGTGTGGGTTTGGATCCCTTTCCCCAAACTCAGATTCTTTATTGACAACTATTCAGCCAATCTGGCCAATTTGTCAATAGATTAACGATTTTGAGCCTTGGATGAGAGGAGCGGGGAGGCCAACTTTGCGTTCAGGGGATGGTTGATTTTTGTCCTTAATACTACACGACCCAGAGCCCAAATTGGTCATTTAAACAACGTTTATTGACACTAGCCAGCAAACCCAGCTAATTTATGAGGCTCAGGGGACACTGATGCTAATTAATTAAGGCGGTAAGGTCGTAATTGACGTGGCGGGAGTGGCCGAGAATATTAGGGCCTGGTTTATTTGCTCACTCTCGACAACACACACTCACAGTCACGCTAAGTTTCGGGCCCCTGCGATTTATTTCTGGCCTGTGTGTGTGTGTGTGTGTGTGTGTGTGTGTGTGTGTGTGTGTGTGTGTGTGTGTGTGTGTGTGTGTGTGTGTGTGTGTGTGTGTGTGTGTACCCGCCCGGGGGAGCGTCTCTCTGTCCCTTGGTCATAGTGTTCATTATTCTCATGACAGCAAGAGTAGCAAGCTGGAAGTTTTTAGATCTTGATCACTGAAGTGAACAATTATAGCAGTGAACAGTGTACACTGAACTACTAAAGGAAAATACTGTACATTCTGGTGGTGTATACTGGAGGCTCCTGGGTTAAGGAGAGACCTTCGTGTTACTGCCAGTTTACGTAACGAAATGAAACCTTTTTAACTTTTCTGGTTAAAAGTGTAAGTGAGGTGAGAGCGGGTTGGTGTGTTGAAGTCGGCGGTGGGCAGCCAATTGACCGAGACTCCGTCAACAGCCGCAGTGTTTGGCTTCCTGCTGGACTACCTCCTCCTCTTTCCGGCTCCCTTTCTGCTTCTGTCTGCTTCTCTCTCTCCCGCCTGCCTCTTATTGGCTCCTGATGCGCCCTGCTTCCTGCTGAACCCTCCTCTCCGTTGCTGCCTCTTACTGTCTGTTGATGCTGCTGCTGCTTCTTGCCTTCAGCAAGGCAGAGGGATGCCTCCTGTTACCACCTTGTGCCAATGTATTCTCTGGCGACTCATTCTCTGGCGACTCATTCTCTGGCGACTCACTCTCTGGCGACTCACTCTCTGGCGACTCACTCTCTGGCGACTCACTCTCTGGCGACTCACTCTCTGGCGACTCACTCTCTGGCGACTCATTCCCTGACACACCACTGGCGGTGTATTTCGTGTTGCAGACTCTTCCACTCCTCTCCCTTGAAGCCTCGGTCACAACAACTCTCTCTCAACACTCTTCCGCTCTTTACAGTGTTGTGGTGTGAGGTTAGGTCCCGCGGGTCACAGTCGATGTCTCCTGTCGTGTCGTGATCTTGATGCAACTGTCCGGCGCGGCATTGGCTGTCCAGTTATCTCCTGTAAATAGATTATTAAGTTATTAGCTTTTCCCATGTGAACAATAAATAATCAGCTGTTCCATGTAAACAAATAACTGGTCAGCTGTTCCATGTAAACAAACAAGTGATCATCTGTTGCTTCAAAAGTAAACATCTGATCAACTTTACTATTTAACCAAATCATCAGCTGTTGAATGAATACACACAACTTCATTCACAATATTTAACAACATGAACCCACATGATGTCATCCATAATTGTCTTCATCACATTCTCTCTCTCCTTGGACGACTGAAACCCACATGAACTATAGTTGCATCAGATCAAGACACAATCTAGGTTCATTTTTCTCCCGTAGAAACCCACTCCACCTTGAATATATATATATATATATATATATATATATATATATATATATATATATATATATATATATATATAATATATATATATATATATATATATATATAGCCATATACACATAAAAATAGATTTTTGGTGTAGAAAGCGTTGTTATGGATAGTTCATCTTCATTGTCCCGCTAATATATATATATATATATCTATATATATATATATATATCTATATATATATATTATATATAATCTATATATATATATATTAATATAATAAACGTCGTTTAACCATTCATTCATCTAATCCTGCTATCTACGTGTCTGTAGGGGATCAAAACAAATGTAAATATAAAAGAGTATTAGTGATTAATAAAATGTCTGTTATTCAACACTGTGTTAATACCCTTCCGAGCCTCTTAATTACGGGTTATGAGTTGGGTCCGCCTGTTAATCTTATGTTATATATAAGTTAAAGCCAAATATTTCCGAAGCTAATTTTCTTTATTGATGATAAACATGACCCCAATGAACAGTTAAAAAACTATCACAGTAAAATAATAAAAAAAAGAGATTGACTTGTTTAAAATGCACATGAGGTTTGAGCACTTAAAGTTGTATTTAAGGCCTATAGACCTTTTCAGGGTTATTAAGGCCACCAGAATAAGCTTACTAGTCAACCAGAAAGTATACTTTAGTCCTGAATATATAGTTCAGGACTAAAGTCATCTCTGAGTTTATAGGCTGAGAAATGTGGTAGACCTTTCGGTGTTGATATGCAATGTTGATACAATCCTTAAAAAATATATATAATTTTTTACCAATTTACAAAACTCCCAAGTTTTTTTATTTACCTAACCTTTTGTTTCCTGTATAATCAATACAAACTGCCGTAAATTTCTACATCTCTAAAAAGGTTTATTATTTTAAAATAAAATTACACAATCCACGCTTTACTAAAATTCATTTATATTTCTATCTTAACCATAGTTAAGATCTCTGAAATTCTAAATAATTTTGAAAGAAAGCAAAGTTCCACATTTCAGTAACGTTATTACAAGTTTAGAAACACATAAAGGGATATAACATGCAATAAGCCGCAGCTATTTCAGAATCTAAAAGACAGCGGTAATGCTGACACAATTACTATATTGTAACCAAAATGAACGTCACACGAGACTGAATAAAAAATTAAATAATAGGAATAATATAATGAAATATAGGAAATGATTAAGGCATATACTGAGCTAAACGGTGTTGAAAAGTCAGTCCGTCCTCATAAGGCAGCCCGTCCTCATAAGGCAGCCCGTCCTCATAAGGCAGCCCGTCCTCATAAGGCAGCCCGTCCTCATAAGGCAGCCCGTCCTCATAAGGCAACCCGTCCTCATAAGGCAGCCCGTCCTCATAAGGCAGCCCGTCCTCATAAGGCAGCCCGTCCTCATAAGGCAACCCGTCCTCATAGAGGCAGCCCGTCCTCATAAGGCAGCCCGTCCTCATAAGACAGCCCGTCCTCATAAGACAGCCCCGTCCTCATAAGACAGCCCGTCCTCATAAGACAGCCCGTCCTCATAAGGCAGCCCGTCCTCATAAGGCAACCCGTCCTCATAAGGCAGCCCGTCCTCATAAGACAGCCCGTCCTCATAAGGCAGCCCGTCCTCATAAGGCAGCCCGTCCTCATAAGGCAGCCCGTCCTCATAAGGCAGCCCGTCCTCATAAGGCAGCCCGTCCTCATAAGACAGCCCGTCCTCATAAGGCAGCCCGTCCTCATAGGCAGCCCGTCCTCATAAGACAGCCCGTCCTCATAAGGCAGCCCGTCCTCATAAGGCAGCCGTCCTCATAAGGCAGCCCGTCCTCATAAGGCAACCCGTCCTCATAAGGCAGCCCGTCCTCATAAGGCAGCCCGTCCTCATAAGGCAGCCCGTCCTCATAAGGCAGCCCGTCCTCATAAGACAGCCCGTCCTCATAAGGCAGCCCGTCCTCATAAGGCAGCCCGTCCTCATAAGGCAGCCCGTCCTCATAAGGCAGCCCGTCCTCATAAGGCAGCCCGTCCTCATAAGGCAGCCCGTCCTCATAAGGCAGCCGTCCTCATAAGGCAGCCCGTCCTCATAAGGCAGCCCGTCCTCATAAGGCAGCCCGTCCTCATAAGGCAGCCCGTCCTCATAAGGCAGCCCGTCCTCATAAGACAGCCCGTCCTCATAAGGCGCCCGTCCTCATAAGGCACCCGTCCTCATAAGGCAGCCCGTCCTCATACGGCAGCCCGTCCTCATAAGGCAGCCCGTCCTCATAAGGCAACCCGTCCTCATAAGGCAGCCCGTCCTCATAAGACAGCCCGTCCTCATAAGACAGCCCGTCCTCATAAGGCAAGCCCGTCCTCATAAGGCAACCCGTCCTCATAAGGCAGCCCGTCCTCATAAGGCAGCCCGTCCTCATAAGGCAGCCCGTCCTCATAAGACAGCCCGTCCTCATAAGGCAGCCCGTCCTCATAAGGCAGCCCGTCCTCATAAGGCAGCCCGTCCTCATAAGGCAGCCCGTCCTCATAAGGCAGCCCGTCCTCATAAACAAGCCAACTCGTCTATATGAACGACAGCCAAATTACTCTGGCAACCCGTCCACAGACTGCGCTCAGCCATCACTCCTAAAGACGCAATCGTCAATTTAAACCTGAGCATTCAAAATAGGAATTTTGACAAATATAAATATTATTATTGTATATTAAAATTTTGCGAATGGTTAGGCGTAGCGTAGGATAGGTTAGGTGATTGAATTTTGTTGGCAATTATTTGTATGTGTTGTGCGTGGGTGTGATTCAAGGAGGGAGTCACTGAAGCACTGGTTTTGAACATGTTCGAACGTTTTTCGAACGAGTGTTTTTCATTCAGAAGGTTTGGCAGCGGGATTAACAAGCAATTCGCCTTTGTTGATGAGGACGGGCTGGTCTTCACCCATTATAGCCAAATACTCGTTAATCGAACCACTATACGCTCCGTGTTCATGAAATGAAAGTTATTTTAGTCACGATTCATAACTTTTCACGTTCGAACAGTGCTTCGTTCGTTCTCAGTGCTTCGTTCTCTTCCTGTCTTCGAATCTCTAGCCGCTTCACCCTCGCCAGTCAGTCCTTGTGGACGAATGTGAGTGCGGGGAACCTTAACGAGCGTAAGACCGTTGGTGATGCTTGTTGAAATACCGAATAGTGGTAGTTGGTGTGGACCTACTGCGGGCAGTGTTGCGTGAGAGCATTGCCAGGTCTTGTATGACGCAGTTTCAATATGTGAGTGTTTTGTGTGTGTGTGTATGTGTATGTACACTACACTCTTGATCAGATGTCACCACACATCTACATCTACTGGTTGATCCGAGGCCACGACGACATCTACATCTACTGGTTGATCCGAGGCCACGACGACATCTACATCTACTGGTTGATCCGAGGCCACGACGACATCTACATCTACTGGTTGATCCGAGGCCACGACGACATCTACCATCAAGGTACGTCTTGATTCTTTCCTAATACTTAGACTTAAATAATAATATCTAATGTAATGGTTGGGATCCAAAATATAAATATCTTATAGGAGTTACTTCATAAAAAGGATGTCATTGATATAGGAGGATATGTAAACCCGGGTGCCTGGTCGAGGACCGGGCCGCGGGGACACTAAAACCCCGAAATCATCTCAAGAATCATCTCAAGATAACCGGGTGATAAGTCGTGGAGTTTCGCTCCGTTCTGAACTATTATTGTCGACAATTCCTATTATGTTCTGATTTTGTTGGTTGAGTGTCAAATTTCCTGTCAAGATATTATTACTTATTATCAGCAGGAAAAAATTTTATCGGAAAATTTTATCGGAAAATTTTATCGGAAAATTTTATCGGAAAATTTTATCGGAAAATTTTATCGGAAAAATTTTATCGGAAAATGTAGGTGAAGTCAGTAGACAGTGTGCTATAGTCCACAGTTGCGCGAGTTGCCGCTCGCGTTAAAATAGTTGTTATAAAAGTTATATGAAATTTTGAAAGTTGGTAATATTTTTTTAAGATATTTCCCTATATTTCCCTATATAATATTTATATATTTCCCTACTATTAGCACGAGAGATATTAGGATAACTATTCTTATTTTATTGTAATAATTAGCTATTATAATTGAAACAATGAATATTAGAGCAATAACAGTTAAACATTTCTAAATAACTATGATTAAAATTATTGTTATTAGAAACGATCATTATCAATAATTTTGATAAGTATGAGCAATAATTATATTAAAATAATTATGATGTAAAAGTTATCATATACATATCTTGAGATGATTTCGTTTTTTTTTTTTGTGTCCCCGCGGCCCGGTCCTCGACCAGGCCTCCACCCCCAGGAAGCAGCCCGTGACAGCTGACTAACACCCAGGTACCTATTTTACTGCTAGGTAACAGCAACAAATGGGGAAGGAAAATTAAAACTTTGAACTTAGAAGTCGTTTTCTTAGTTATTGCAATCAAAATTAAACTGAACTCGAGGTTTTTGAACACGACGAGAGTTCATATTCCGCTGACCAGGTGAGACATTTGTTGGAAACTAATCAGAATCAGAGCAGAGGGAGACGATGGTATCCCGACACCACAGGTGACCTAAAGAGTTGTTTCTAGACTTTAATCCAGCCAAATGCAACGT